CGATAATTGGTATTTGTACTTGTACTTGGTCTGGAAAAAATGGTATCGGTGCATCCCTAATATATATATATATATATAGGGCTGTGCAAATTAACGATTAATTTCTCGATTAATAGTTAATCTTTTTGATCGATTAAAAATTGTTTAAAACTTTCTGCACGAGCGCCAGCCAAGGCATTGGCCTATACACATACAGCACAGCAATGAAGTCTTAAAATGAACTAGGATCACACTAATCCAGCACGTTATTAATCTCAGTTCCCCACTCAAGCGGCGGCCTATATATTTATACACACACAGAATACACAAACACAAAGTCAGGTTCAGGAGATTTTATTTCCCTTTGGTATTTGAAGAATATACCAGACAGTCTGGACCACATTTCTGCAGAGGTCACCTAGGTCACGGCCTAAGGTGGCAAAGCCTTTGGGGCAGCACCCGACCCCAACACACTGCTGACTGACAGTCTGTGAATTATTTCCAGCCTGCCGCCATGTCTATCAGTGTTGTATCTGTGCTTGGGTATTGTAATTGATGGTAAAGCCCGCTCACCAACGGCCTGCTCCAGGTCTGAACACCCCGAACTGAACCATTGCCTGGCTCAGGAAGGCATCATAATAAGAATCCTTATGTTTCTTTTGCCATTTAGAATCAGACGCTGTTAAAAGTTTTTTTCTTTCAGCCTTCGGGCTGAGCTTAACAAATCTAACTAATTCCCCCCATCCATGCTGAACAGCGTTCATGGGGACTCCTCCCCCCCCTTCTCCACTGGTCCAACTGATTGTCTGCAGTCACTGTTTGGCTGAAAATATTTAAAGGGAGTTCTAGACAAACATTGATTGAAAAATTTACTTTTGTCAAATGGTACGGGTTGGTGAAGGGGGATTGTCCCGAGGAGACCACACCAGTGCCATGCATAGTCAGCCTAATAATAATGTAAGGCGGTGTCTGTAATATATTTTAAGCCCTTAAAAATGTCATCCAGATCTGCTACTTGAATGGAATCTCAGGTGAACCAAACAGGTTTCTTTTGTGTCGCACTCATGCTCCTTACAATGTACGATTTTTGCCCGAGCAGAAATCACATTGGCGGTTAGAATTTCATTCGTTCAGATAAGAAACAACAAAAACAATTTCCTCGGCCTTCTAGTTTTCTTGGCACTATGGTTGAAAATGAACCTCAGTTTGTCCCCATTAGAAAATCGAACTTAAATAGAGCAAATGTTTTCAAAAGAAAAAACAGGCATGTGATGCCAGGCGCCCTGCAGCCAATATGGCCACCGACCATTCTTTTCTTTACATGTGAGGTTTCGGATTCAGAGGTTCATTGCCTCCGAATCCAAAATAGCATTAAAATTTGTTTTATTTGGCAAAACAAATGAAAATGTTTTTAGTTCTCATTCATTTTGTCCCACACACATTTTTTATCATTTACACGGTGTGCAATCTGGACACTTCTGCAAAACTGAGACAAAGGCGGATGTAATTATACTACCTGCTGACATGTGTTTTCTGAATGACTTTCCAGCATCTGAAGTTACTAATTTCACCTTTATCTGCAGAAAGCCGCTCCCCCCCACATCTGTCATCATTGTCACCACCCGAGGACTGTTGATTCCTATTGTTCCCCCCGAACAGCCTGCAGGAAATATAAGTGGGGGGTCTGTAGCTTTAAATATAATTAATAAAGAATATAATGATAATAATTTCGTTATTAGAAAATAATCACTTTAAAGGGATTTTAACCTTATGGAAATGATGAGTAGCCACATTATGGGGTCTCTACCTTCTACAACACATCCATGCAGACCACAGACCCTCCGTCATGACATTGTGATGTCATGATGAGGATTTCCTATCAGCAATACAATGTAACAAAGTAACAATACAACATTCACATTATGATTTAAAGGGATGCTTGGGTCTTACTGCATCAAAGACTTACATTCAGAGCTCCATGTTTCCTATACATTGGATTTGTATAATTAAATACAGACCATAGAGATGACAATAGGGTGACAAAGAGCAGCTTGGTTTAATGACATCGACGTGCACATGTTTTTTTTGCCTGCATTGCTACTAAGAAGTGTCCTTATCAAAGCTGAATGATATTTTGCCTCCCCTTGTCCCCCTTTCCATCAAAATGGTAAATATATTTTTATATAAAACCTATCCTTTTCCATTACATATCTACCAGTGATGTCATCACTGGGTCTCTGTGCTGCTTTTTACAATGCAGGCAGATTAAGGCTTGTTGGAGGGGCCAGCAGGGTGCTGTACATAGCTTCCCTTACGGATCACAGCACCCTTCCTCGGTTCTCCTCTCAAGAGCCCTCAGGTGTGATACAAGCAGTGGGCTGGAGTTAGATAGTCAGGTAGAGCCTGCAAGAAAGATATAGCAAGCCTTGTTTCCTGGCTGAAGGACGTCCAGCATGGTCTAGCTCTATCCTCCCCAGCCTGACTGTCCTTGGCATGCCTCTTTCATTCACTGGATTTCATTTCTTTCACTCATGGAGGCTCAGCATTAGATATGTGCAAAACAAAAACATTTGTTTTTAGATGAAACAAATGAAAACGAAAAAGTTTTCATTCGTTTTGTCAAAGGAAACACATTTTTGTGTTGTTTCGGATTGGGAGGCAGTGGCCATTCTCAGCAGGGCAGTCCGGTGTCTGAGCACAACATGTGGGCACAGGCTGGGGCAGAGGGCTCAGCTTACAACCCCGGGACCCCTCACCAGCTGGTGTCACCCTGCTTCACCTTCTCCTCCAGCCTCAGTTACACACTGAGAACCCGGCGGAGCCGCTGTGATATCAGTGTAATGACAGATGGGCGTCCCTGGTTACCTGGTAACCATGGACTCTACAAGTCTCAACAAGTGGCCAGAGCCAGCCGTGAGATGACGGCTGGCTCCGCACAACTGTCAGTAGCAGGCTGTCGGCCGACCAATGGCCGCATATGCCTTTGGCATTTTATATACTGTAATATATACTGTTTGGGGGTTTGAAGTAATTTTCAGGCCTAAAATGCAGATTATATCATGTGTGCAAAAAAACAAAACAAAAAAAGGCCTTGGCAGCAAAAGGGTCCTTATAGGGTTAAAGATACAGAGTGGAGAAGAGCAGAGTGGAGAGATGCAGAGTGGAGAGGTGCAGAGTGGAGAGGTGCAGAGTGGAGAGGTGAAGAGTGGAGAGGTGCAGAGTGGAGAGGTGAAGAGTGGAGAGGTGAAGAGTGGAGAGGTGTAGAATAGAGAGATGCAGAGTGGAGAGGTGCAGAGTGGAGAGGTGCAGAGTGGAGAGGTGCAGAGTGG